CTATGTGAGAGAGACACGTGGATTGATTGCCTCCTGCGTGTGCTCCCGCATGTGCAGTGGATTGAACCTGCAACCAAGGTACGTGCCCTTGACCAGGAATCAAGGGGGGGGTGGGGGGTGGCGGCGATGATGCTCTAACCATTGAGCCACACCATACAGGGCAGATCTGGCTTTTTGTATAGCAGATCTGAGTAAATAAACAGGACAAGCTACTGACTTTATCAACTTTTGTGTTTCCAGGCATGCCATAACTAAGTTTGTGTTTTTGTTTTAAAATTTGGAAATGTTGCTAATAGGGAAAGAGAAAAGGTATCTTAGTATTGGATTACATTGAATACAACTCTCCTAAATAGCTGGGACTCTTCACTGTGTGGACAGAAACCTTCTGAAAAGGCCCTCCCTCTCTCCCTCCCTCCTTAGAGTTTATACACAGAAAATTTTAAATGAGTTTTTTCCCTTAAATATTCTAAGTGTGTGCCAGAATTCATTTATTTTGAAACTTGATTTAATACTTTATTTCTTTTTAAAAGCTATTTGCCATTTTCTCTACTAAACTTTGAGTTAAGAAAAATTGTGTTTTTGTTGTTTGAAAAACAGCTAAGCTGATTCAGTTAGAACCTTTTAAACAGATAATCTCTGAATTGTGATAAATGAACCTTAGTTGGAAGAGACTTTTCCTAGCATTCGAGATGAAATTATGAGATTGTCATGGAAACATATATGTGTTCTCCACATTTGTTACTGGTGGTGAGTGAGTGCAAACACTGGCCTAGAGAGTCAGAGCATCCTTGTTTCTGTAAAATTCATGATCTGTTTTCCTTCAGATATGAGGGTCCCCCATTTTAAATCCTAACTTTTTCTCTCCAGTTCCATTTGTAGCATTAAAGTGATCACTTTTGATTGGTTTTGTAGCTTCTGAAGCATCTCCCAGGTTTAGGGAAATAAGCTGAGGCTAAAGGGAGTTACGTAGCTTGTTTCCTATAGAGAATAGTGCCCATGCTTTGGGTGGGCATGGCCTGGGCTGTAGGTCACTTTCCTTTTTTACAGTCTCTCGGGTGTTTGTCAGTATGCTAGGACTCCAGCTGTTGCGTGACTCTGCCCTGCTGTCCCCAATCTCTGGTTTGGGAAGTTGTTGGACAGGTGACAGTTGAGCAGCAAAATATGTTTGCTTGCTCTGTAAGTTACCTTTAGACATAATGAAAGATATCTTAACTGGGTTGTCCAGGAACAGTGTGCCTGTCTGACCTGTTGCTGAGTAACAGGAGAGCAGAGCAAAGCCTTATATGGCACCATCATAAAAGCAACTTATTTCATGGGTTACCCCACACGAATTCACTGTTAGGGGAGAGGAGAGCTTTTGGTTTATCACATAGGCTTCTGGCTATGGGGTGTTTGTTTGTTTGTTTGTTTGTTTTTAACCCTCACCAGAGGATATGATTTTATTTTTTAATTTAATTTTATTATTTTATTTTATTGATTTTAGAGAGAAACCTTGATCCGTTGCTTCCCGTGTGCACCCTGACTGGGAATCAAGCCCAGAACCTTTTGGTACAGGAGACAGCACTCCAGCCAACTGAGCCACCAGCCAGGGCTGTGGTTGTCCTTTTATTGTTTGTTTGGGTTTTCCTCGGTTACCACTCCCACAGATCTGTAATTGCTTTCCTATAATGGGTGACAGAGCCTAGAATTTTCTTACATCGAATATACTGGTAGCATTGGCTGAGTTGATAGATATGATAGCCAGCTTTTCTTTTTCTTTGAGCTTTTTGACATAATTTCAGACTTCTAGAAGAGTTGCAGGAGTTCCCATACATGTTCTACCCAGGTTTCTCAAGCATTAGCGTTTGCTTTGTCCCTCTCTTGTTCTCTTTCACATAATACCCACACATCTGTGCGCACACGCGCGTGTGTGTATTTTACATATTTTTTAAGTGCTTGACAGTAAATTGCAGCCATCCCTACTTTAGTGTGTATTTCCTAAAAACGAGGTCAGTTTCTTATACAACCCACAGTGCCAGGATCAAAAATCAGAAATTAGCATTGATATGGTGCTATTAGCTAATCTATAGTCCCCATTCACATTTGTCAATTGTCTTTATAATGTTCTTTCTATAAAAGAAAATCCCAGATCAGGTGTTATATTCAGTTGTCCAATCTGTGTGCTTCGTTGACTTTTGAAGCTTATAGGCTACGTATTTTGTAGTGTGTCCTTCTCTGGCTTCATTTTCCCAAAGCACTGAGCCTCCCTATTTAGAAAAGGGGTAAGGAGTAAGATTGCTAAGTGGAGAAGGGGAGGGGACACAGTGCTCAGATCTGCTCTCCTGGGAACCTGACAGACTGGAGTGGGCCTGGTCATCGGCAGCTGGCGTGCAAGGATGCAGCTAGATTCCAGCCTCTCAGTTGAGAGCCCGTTTATAGGTGATGCAGATGCTCTGTGTTTCATAATCTTCTCCCTCTCTGTTTTGTTGTGTGTTCAAAGTTGTAGCTTAGTGACCAACAACGGATGAAGGTTTCTCTGGTATATGTATTTGTTACACCCTCCCCTCCCCTCCCATCACACACACACACACACACACACACACACACACTTTTCAATCTTGTTTCATGGCAATCTGGTATATGTATTTGTTACACCCTCCCCTCCCATCTCACACACACACACACTTTTCAATCTTGTTTCATGGCAATCTGGTATATGTATTTGTTACACCCTCCCATCACACACACACACACACACACTTTTCAATCTTGTTTCATGGCAATCTGGTATATGTATTTGTTACACCCTCCCATCACACACACACACACACACACACACACTTTTCAATCTTGTTTCATGGCAATCCACTGGCCTCTCTGTGCTACTGTAACAGTGTCTCAGTGATGGAATACTCCTTTCCCTTAGTTATGCTACTTCCGCAGCCACACTTGGGAAATGAAAGCACAGTGGCTACCAGTGAGACCTGCAGGGTCAGACTGTCTAGAGTTGAGTCCTGCCCCCACTTTTTACTATTTGCTGTGTGAACCTTGAGCAAATAGCTCAACTTGGCTGAATCTATTATATAAGAATTTTGTGATGATGAAACGTGACCTGTTACTAACTACATATTTGAAAATAATAAAGCTGACACTTATTGGGTACTTAGTATGTGCCAGTACTGTGCTGAGTGCTTTAGAAAACACCATTGATTGTGATAACGCTTATTTTTCTTCAGACTCAAGCCCACTTAAGATAAGAAACAACACACGTAATGCTCGTATTTCTGATTAAGGTCTTTAATTTTTCTGTCAAGCAGATTGGAAGATTAGCAGGTAGCAGAGGTTTTCAGTCACTGCTGAATCAGAGATCAGTTTTCTCCTTTGCTGATCTGTCACCTCTTTCTTTGGGAATGGGATCTGTTGGGAAGTTTCACTGGCTCTGTGCTGATTTCAGACTCTAGATATTAAGGAAATGGGAGTGGTGACAGGAAATGGGAGCCAGCAGCTGGGGAACAAGTTTGTAACTTGATGTCAGTGAACCGGTCTTCACTCCTGGAAGACAAAATTACATGTAACTCGTTGGAAGAGCAGGTGTCTCACCATTTTGTTTAAGTTTTTCCATTTGTGGGTGCATAATATACAGCTGTTCAGAGCTATAACATTTTCCACTTGGCAGTTAACCCAGTAAGCATTTTATTTTTAAAGTATGACATGGTGTTCAAAATTTTTAAGTGCCCTACTTAAAGATCTGACACATAAGCTGTAAGTCTGTAAATTATTTAACTTAATCTTATAAGTTCTTAGGGGCTAGCCCATTTTATCTTGATTTTTTTTTTTTCCCTCTTCTAGTTTAGACAAGCTCTTTAACATAACCCAGTGTACAAGATAGTGCAATATCCATTTGATTAGCTAACGTCGTTTTAAAGTTTTATTAATTTCAAATGGAGTCTTACTTCTGATTACTCTTGTGTATTTAAGCCAGTGAAGAAAAAGAAGATTAAACGAGAGGTTAAGATTCTGGAGAACCTTCGCGGTGGAACAAATATCATTAAGCTGATTGACACTGTGAAGGACCCTGTGGTAGGTGCCTGATGGTTCGGGAAGAGTGAGAGAGAGAGAGAGAGAGAGTGTGTGTGTGTGTGAGAGAGAGAGAGAGAGAGAACCTAAAATACTGAGAAATACTATATAGTGGGGATTATTGTGTTTGTCTTTACTACTGAATGATTTTGAAAACCAGAAAAAATCATGGTGGCCCAATGAGAAAATAGCAATCACCACTTTTGTAGACCCTAAAAAAGTATGATATAGACAAATCCCTGTCCCAGGTTTGTTACCTCATTATTTTGATTGAGCTCACAAATGTTTGCTGAATATCTCCTTTTAGGCCCTGCTTTTCTCTCAGTTTTGAAGCTAATTACTGCCAGTTGGCATTATTTTACCTCTCCTTGAAAATCTGGGTGTACGGGAAGAAGTACTGAATAGCTCCGTGTGGACACCTGACATAGAGAGCTGAGCTGGTCACAGGCCCGCTGACTTTTGAGGAAGCGAGTTTGCTGTTTCTCATACTGGTCTTTAATTCAGCATCCACCATTAGGGGTCACGTATATGCTGAAACCTCTGAAATATTTTTGTTAAAATGCTTAAATTTTAGCCATTTTAGTAGAGCTGTTTAATTTTTTTCCCTTCTTGGGGGTAACTTAACCTTAAGTGTTTATGATTGACTTAAGGCTTTTTTGGCACCACTTTTATACCACTTCCCATCCCATTTCTTTTCTTTGCCTGCTGTACCTCAAGTATTTCTCTGTTCCCCCACGATAGCTTTTGTTTATTTAAGAAGTAGGTCTTTGCTTCTGTCTGCTAAAGACATCTTTCTAAGTATGTGGTGGCTAACATGCATTGGGCACTTCCTGTGTGCCAGGCACTATTCTGAGTGTTTAGCCGTGTCGCATCATGGGATCCTCACAACAGTCCAATGGGGCTGGTGCTGTTATGGTCTGCATTATCACATTGCACAGATAAGAAAACCAAAGTCTGCAGAAGTGAAGTAATTTGCCTGAGATAACACACGGTCGTTGAACTGAAGAATAAGGGAGGTTCTTTATTTTGGTCCCTGAAAAGACCAAAAAGGATGATTATGTTCTAGATTCCATCTAATTGGCATTACACATTTATCCCAGGGTGATCAGCGTAGATTGACCTTACACTGACATGGAACTTGGTGATAGCTGTTTACTGTTTTTCTAATATGTTACTTAAAGTGCAAGTGTGTTTTACATGATACTGTAAATTGAAGTGGACGAAACCACTTTTAGAGGAATGAGCTTCCTCCCAGCCTCTGGAGAGAACTGGTGATCTCAAAACCCTTTCAGCTTGGGCTAGTGAGGAACCCCCTAACCAGGGCTGCTGCTCGTCCTGGCAAAGGCCTGTGTGCACACACTGTGGCCTGTTTCCTAGGTAACTTTCATCTGCTTCCTTCAGCAAAACTTCTCAGCCATAAAGATTTCTAAGATGATTTTTTCTTTCTATAATGCTTTTAAGCCCCTGCTTTTCTCCCAATTTTGAAAGCTTATTACTGCAACTAACATTATTTTACCTCACTTAAGTAAACTTGGCATTTGAAAATCTGTATTTATAAAAAGAAACGGTGACTGTTTTGTACTCATTGCATTAAAGACTATAGTGCTTTAAAAATACTTGAGGAAGCAATTTCACATTGTGGCTTACTGATAATCATAGTTTCCTTTTGGATCCTGAAAAGACCTATGCTAGATTCCCAGTACCTGTGACACTTCTATAACATGCACCTCGCTTGCTAAACCCAGATGAAAACATGTTGCTCCTTTTGTAGTTGGCAGACGGGAACACTCAGAGTATACATCTTCATATCATAGTGTGCCAGGCCCACTGGACAGGTTGGTCAGAGAATACGTCTCTTTTAAAAACAAACAAAAAACTTTATGGTGAAAAAATCCACCAATTTACAAAAGTAAAGTGGATAGTACCATGAACCTGCCTGCACACAGCACTGACTCCTAGCAGTTAGTCAGCTCCTGGCCAATTTTGTTTCATCTGTGCCTCACCCACGTCCCCACCGCTACCATTGCCCAGCGTCCTGTTATTTTGAAGCAAATTCCAGACATAAAATTTCTAGAGAATACTTTCTTACTAGTCTCTCCCTGGTGGGTAAATCTTTTTCATCTAGTGGGATCTGAGGATGGGCAGGTGCCACAGAAGAAATTATGTTTATTGTTTGAATACATATTAAGCATTCATATTCTCTCTTGCAGTCAAAGACACCAGCTTTGGTATTTGAATATATCAATAATACAGATTTTAAGGTGCGTATATACTTTTTCTTTCTGGTATGGGGGGATTAAAGGGGCATGGGGAGGTGGCAATAGGTGCTGTTGATACCCTAGAACACAAGAGGAGCAGAAAGGTCATTGGTGAGAGTGGGAAATAACAAATTGGATTCCTTCTAGCATGAGTACAGGATGTAGAAAGTGGTTAGGGTTCTTGAATTTGGTGTAATTACTCAACACCCTTTGCCTCGCTTACTCTGGGAATAGCTGCTGGCCTGGGTTAAGCTCATGCCTCATCTGTAACACTCCTGTTTTAGACAACAGATTTAGGTAGATGTTAACTTTGACAGATTGCTGATGGGAAGTGAAAGGAAGCAATACATTGGATTCACACTCTCAGAGGGTGTGTTTTATGTACGCTGTATACAAAGCAAATGACAGAGAAAAGCCCTATCCTGGGTTATTTACATGTCTTATATTTATAATGCATATAAGTTTAGATTATGAAGTGCTCTTTTAAAAGCAGGTCTTTAAGCTGGTTTGTCATGAATTTGTTTTTACTGTTTTTCAAATAGTAATCTTAACTCATGGTAAGGTTTTGAGGCCAGGCATACTGGACATGGTAGAGCACAGTATGAAAACCAAAATAAGAAGAAAAAGTTTTTAAAAAATTAAAAGTGGTGTTGATTTTTAGGGGCATTTAGAGAACTTTTAGGTGATTACAACTCTGTCAGTGAATAAAAGGCTTGTGCTTTTGTTGCGATGGGAGTTGGCGACAGATCCATATCAGCATTTGGTTTTGGGAGTGGTGCTTTTGGTGGAAATAAAACAACCTTATCCTCACATTTAATTTTTCTTAATCACTCTAAAATGTCTCTGGTTAATTAGTGAAAAATAAGCAAAAGGGGATTTTGACTTACAAAACAGTAAGCAAGTTTTATATACAGTGTTGCATTCCCCATATGTAACAAGTTTCCTTGTTAATCCAGTAGTGAATTCTAAAAAGTGGGGTCTTGCCCTGGCCTGTGTGGCTCAGTGGTTAGAGCATCGGCCCAAGCACTGAAGGGTCATGGGTTCAATTGCAGGTTAAGGGCATGTACCTGGGTTGCGGGTTTGATCCCTGCCCCAGTCCGGGCATGTGTAGGAAGCAACCCATCGATGTGTGTCTTTCACATCGATCTTTCTCCCTCCCTCTCCCTCTCCTCTCTTCCCTTCCCTCCCTTCCACTCTCTCTAAAAATCAATGGAAAAATTATCCTTGGGTGAGGATTACAATCAATAAATAAATAAAAAGTAAAAAGTGGGGGGTCTACATTTTTTCATTAGCATAGTAGCACTTCACTGGTAAAATGCTGTGCTGATACGTGCGCTGACCTCACTTTTGCTGTGAATGACCCAGGGTCATCAGGGTGTATATATGTGTGTGTTTCTTAAGAAGTAGGCACACTTTAATGAAACCAAACATTTTCTTAATGCCAAAATTCCATAGCCAGTCTTCATGGAACTTTATAGTGAAATCCCTCAGTTTTAAATGCCTCTGCTTCCTAATGAGTTATTACCAATTGTCCAGCCACACATGTAAAATTTCACTTCAGCATTTTCTGTTTCCTGAATTGACGGGTTGTTTTAACAACAGGCAGAAGATCAGTTTTTAATTCCCCAGAGAAATCTGACTTCTTACAAAGGGAGTGTTTAAAAGAGTCATGGGATTTAACGTTTTTAGAGGCTTGGGTATCTGAAAATATCTTTACTTTAGCCTCCCAACTAATGTATTTGCCGTAGTACAGAATTTCAGTTGCAGCTAACAATTTCCTCAGGATTTGAAGGAGAGTGTTCTGTTCTTTGCCACTGAAGCGTTCTGGTTTCCTCCTGCGCGGTCTGGCTTTTGCAGTTGCCCAGGGACTGCTTTCATGTGGGGGTCGCTTTCATCCTTCCGTCTGGATCCTCACTGGGCGTTTTCAGTCGAGAAACTTGTGTCCTTCCGTTTTGGAAAAGTATTTTTAATATTCTTTGATTTTCTTCCCTTCTTTGTTCTCACTTTCTCAAACTCATGCAGATGTTAGACTGCCTATCTTCGAGCTCTCTTTTGTTCTCGGAACCTTTTATAATAGTATCCTGTTCTTTTATGTTTTACGTAATATCTTCTATTTTCTCACTGAGAAGATGTGGCTTTTTCCCCATTATGTTTTCTTCTTCATGCCTTTTCTCTGTTTTTCTTTCAGATTCCTTTTCTGGTGTGTGTTTGGTTTTGTTCTCTTACCTTCCTCTGAAATGTCATGGTTTTTGAATGCCTGCTCATATTCTAGAGCATTGGAGTTACTGGTTGTCGGCTCCTGTCTCGAGGATGCAAGCCTGGCTGCTGGCGTCTTACAGCCACAAGTGAGCAGAGCTGCAGGAGTGTCATGTAGATTTTCCCTTAATTCCCTTTTAAGTGTGATGTTTTCAGTTCAGTCTGTGTGTCCTTTTTAGTGATACCAGGGCCACCGATTCCTGGGCCTTCTATAGTTCTTCAGTTTGAATTGTGTGCTTCTGGGTCCCCTCCACTGCTGGCAGAATTTTCACCTTTTTTGTTCTGCTAAGTTGGACATTGGCTTTCTAGCTTCAGGATGTCCTCTCTTTCATTCTCTTGGTTATTGTAGAGTTAATCCCCCTCCTCCTTTTACTGTTACTTCAGAGGAACTTTGGGAAAACAGGCAGAATGTATTTGATCTGCCATGTTAAACTGGGGGTCCCCTTTGAATGTTCAAGTCATGCCATTTTAGTCATCTTAAAAGATCATTAAATACCAAGTAGCAGTTGTGTATTTTGGAAGAGCAAATCATGACAGGAAAGTTATTTTCTTTTCCAGCTAGAATGACAGGTCACAAACAGAAACCAGTTGGTTTAATGTCCTCGTGTCCTTTGGGCTTTTGATTTGGTTCTGTGGCCATCTTATTAGGAAAGTTTGTTTAAATTTTTTCATTTTAGTGTTAAGTGTATTAATAACTGATTTTAGGGTGTCACCCAGAAAGCGTTTGTCCCTGGTTTAATATCGGGAGTGAATCAACAGTGATGTAGCCTGTAGTCCATTCTTTTTAGTACTTTTTATTGATACTAAATTATGATCTATAATTTCCTTTTATTGTAGAGTCCTTCTGATTTTGGTATCAGGGTTAACATCACAAAATAAGTCAGGTAGCCCTTTCTGTTCTCTTTAAGTTTATATGAAATAGGGATTATCTAGGTAAGTGTGTTTTTAGAGGGGAGGAGAAGCTTTGGACTATACTCCCCTTTTTTAATTGAATTTATTGGGGTGATATTGGTTAATAAAATTACATAGATTTCAAGTGTACAATTCTGTAATACATCATCTGTATATTGTATTGTGTGTTCACCAAGTCAAGTCTCCTTCGTCACCTTTTTTCCCCGTTTACCCTCCTCTGTCTCCCCCCTTTCCCTCTGGTGATCACCATGCTGTCATCTGCGTCTTTGAGGGTGTTTTGTTGTTGTTTTTGCTTAACTCGTCTACTTTTTCCACCCTGCCCCCAATCCATCTTACACTTTTCTTTTTAAAACACATTACAGGTTAGAGGTTTATCCGGGTTTTCTATCTTTTCTTGAGTCTATTTGGATAATACCTATTTTTAAAGTTGTCTTTTTAATTTTATTCACATAAAATTATTGATAGGATTCTCTTAGGACTTAAAAACTTCAGTATGTCTGTAATTATGCTTTTCTTTACCTTTAACATTACAACCTTTGTCTTTTTTTTTTTAATTAGTATTGGTAGGGATTTCTTACTGATATTCTCGGAACCAGCTTTGGTTTTATTGCTCAGATGTTGTTTTTCTATTTCATTCTGTTTCTCCTCCTATCTTTTATTATTTATTTATGATTTTCTTCCTTAATTTCTTTCTTGTATTTTCAGTTTTTCCCTCTAACTTCTTGAGTTGAAGTCAACTTACTTGTCTCTTGATGGCTAGTAAGTCTGTAAACCCTAAGCACTGTTTTCGCTGCATTCCATGGTTATGAAACTCACTTATGTGTCATTTTTAAAGTAGAAGTACAAATTCCAAACTTGTGGATTTGGGTTTTTCCCCCCCAAACTTTTTACTTGGAAAATTTTTAGACCTACTGAAAATTAGAAAGTGTAGCAGTCAGTACCCTTATGTTACTCACCTAGATTTACCAGTTAATATTTTGCCACATTTGCAGTTATTTCTCCCCATCCCCCCACACTCCCCTCTTTATCTCTTTTTGCTGAAGTCATCTTAGCGTAAATTGCAGACATCACAGTACCTCACTGCTAAGTGTGCTAGCACTGAAACTAAGGTATTTTCCTCTACAGAGTACTACTAGTACACTTAAGAAACCTAATATTTAATAATATAGAGTCCATATAAAAAAGTTTCCCAGTAATTACTGTCCTGGGAATGTCCTTTATAGCTCTATGGTTGTGAATATATGATCCAGGATCCACTTGGTTTTTTAATATATATTTGATTGCTAATCAAATATATTTAATATATTATTGATTCCTAATTTGGTTGCACTATGTCCAGAGAACCCGGTCAATATAATGTGGATTATTTGGAATTTGTTGATGATTGATCCTTCTGTCTTTAGTCCATGGTCAGTTTTTATATTAAGCTTATTAATTTAGTTCAGGTCTTTTATGGCCTTACTCATTTTTTCCCTTAATATTTCATTTTATAGTAGAGGTACTGTTTTAGTCAATTTCTCCTTGAAACCATTAGTTACAACACTTCGTATATGTCAAAGCGATATAAAGATACATGATAGTACTTAGAACATATTCAACTAGTATCTTTTGTACCACATAAAATTGGTACTGGTTGGAGTAGCTGAAAATACTGTGTTGACAGTCAAAAGGACATTCATTTACACAGATGCTTGGTATAGTTACCACATGATATGAGAGGAAAGGAAAGCTTTCCACAGATAGAAGTCCAGCTAGTAAAATAGCCCATATTTGTTTTCTGGAAATAAAATATCCCAGGCCTTTGAGGGTTAGAAAATGCTGTTTTCACTTTCATGGCCTATGTATTGACTTGAGGTTCAACTTGGCATTGTCTCTGGGAGTAATCTCCTTAACTCTTACGGCAGGAGCTGATCGGACATGCACAGAGATGGTATCTTTGGCATGGTCTATACACACAGGTTGGGGGTGTGCTGGGGAGAACTAAAAACTTGGGTATTGGGCTGTTACACTGTTGAATCTCCCGAGCACAAGTGGTGGGTGTTTGCGCCTGAGTGCAGTTCAGCCCCTTCCCAGGTCAGCCTCCGGTGGGCAGCAGCTCCAGCACACCAGTATGTATTCTGGGATGTAAGTTTTCATTCCCTGTGGTGCCTGAGCTGGCTGCTGCCTGAGCGTGATGAAATCAGATAGTCTTACTAAGCCAAAAGGAGAGTTACTGTCATTTAAAAGTGGACATTTGAGAAATGTCCTGGCGTTCTTAAAAAATGTTAAATTTTATTTTTAACAAATTTAAAAAATTTTTTTGAATAGGTAATGTGTTTACACAGATCTAAAATATGAAATGGTATGCAGGAGAAGTCTCCTTTATTCCCCTGTGCCCCAACTATCCATTCCCCCCCACGTATATATGATACCACTTTAATCTCATACCATTTTCACAGATACAAACAAATAGGAATGTGTAGTTTACCTCCCCCCGCTTTACACAGACACTCGTCTCTGCTCCTTGGAGAGATTCTCTATTGCTTGAGTCTTCCAATAAAGAGAAAAAATATATTTCATAAAGATGTGCTAATTAATTTTATAAGAAGTGTTGCTTGTACTGATGGGAAAGGAGATTTACTTGGAATTATCAAAAGTAATAGTGTGTAGTTTCTGACAAGGGTTTGTGGTTTTAATGAACCCGGATTCATAAACGCTACTCTGCCTCTTAGAAATAAATTTTTAAAAAAATGTCCCAGTGGGTGGGTCTTTGGATTATCAATAATGGAAACTTTCATTTGTGAGTCAGTTTTGTAACATTTCCCTCCACCCCTCCTTTTTTCTTCTCCCTAAAACATTTCACTTCTTTAGTTCCCATCCAAACTGCCTGTGAAGTGTTCTTTTTTTCACCTGGAATTGGTTTTGGGAGAGTGGAGGGTATAGATTCTTTAAAGTTTTTTGCCATGCCCAAGTGCTGTAGCAGTTCATTTTTCGGTGTTTCTTTCACAAGCTCACCCGCCACTGTTTTACCACATGGGCTGATGCGGGTTTTCGGGTTCTTCTTTCCCCAGAACTCGGTTCTCTAAAGTGCACGTGGTGCTGCAGTGGGGCGAGTTTGTTTGAAGTGCAGTTGGACAACTGGGACATTATCTCCCTAATAGTGCAGTTGTGGGGGTTGGAATCAGGGAGCATTAAACAGGTTTTTAAAGGACCAAGTTGGAGTAAATGTCTTCCCTGGAATTCCTTCCTTTTTTTCTTTTGAAGACTGAAGTATTAGACCCTCATCTTTAGACTGTGTCCCCATTTGTTTCAGGTCCGATAGTAAAAGTTCTGGGGTTCTTTAGTGACTCAAGCACGAAGTTTACAGAATAATGACCAGCATTTGGGGTGACAGGATGCAATGACACTAAATTAACTTTCTCTTCTGAAATCTGTTTCAGCAACTTTACCAGATCCTGACAGACTTTGATATCCGGTTTTATATGTATGAACTACTTAAAGTAAGTGGCATTCATAAATGATGAATTTTTTTCAGGCTCACTCATTAAAGGAGAAGTATTTTGAGAGAACAGAGGACTCGCGCAGGATAGTGCCTGATACCCAGAGTATTTAGTGAGGTTTTGTTTGTTTTTGTTTTGATGGTTTTTTGTTTTTCCCTTATCTTGAGGCCCCCATCGTGAGATCTTCACATAGATAGTTTCCAGTGGAACTGGGAATCACGGCCAAGTCAAGGCGTACCAGGGACGTTACAGCAGGGATTAGAGCCTGCGTCTTCAAAGTTCTTGTTGTCCCTTGGATTTTCCTTTTGGTGCTTAATTAATACTATTAATTTTTTAAAAAGAAATAATTTCTTATTTCTCACAATTCTGTCAGTTGGCTGCGTGAGTCTTTTGGTCTGGGAACACTTAACTGGGGCCGGTTGGTCAAGATGGTCCAGGGTGGCCTCATTCACGTGTCTGGGGTGGCAGCCGGAGTAGCTGAGGCCTCGTCCTCCAGGAGGTTGGTCTGGGCTGCTTCCCGTGCTGGCTTCAGGGTTCCTGGCAGCAGGAATGTAAGTGGCGTGTAAGCACTTTTCAGGCCTCTGCTGTGTCATGTTTGCTAATTGTTGACCAGAGCAAGTCTCATGGTCAAGCCTAGACTCAAAGGGTGGGGGGTAGACCCCAGCTCTCGATGGGCAGAGCATTGAAGTCGAATCGTGGAAGAGCGTGCACAGTACGATGGCAGGCACAGGGGGCCGTCTTTTTCTTGCCGTCTCTTGTAATTCCCTTCTTATATGAGACCGCCTAACCTCAGGCCTGCCCCTTTCAAGCATTACTGATTGATGGAGAAATCATCTTTTTTAGTTTGTATAGGTAAACACTTACATAAAGAATTCTAAAAAGGTTTGTAAAATGGAATAGATCAGTGAATGGTTCCTAAGATTTTTAGTGTCATGGAGCAATAAGAATCTAATGAAAACAGTGAACTCACCCCAAAATGCATGTGTAAATATACAGTATTATTTAAAGTTTTAAAGGGGGTTGTGGATCTCAATTTAAGAACCTCTGAAAGAATATAGAAGTGACTAAGGTGTTGGCATTAGTGAAGAAAATTGCCAAGATGGAGTTTCGATGTGATTGTGAATCATCACTTGGACAAAATACCAAGTTAAATTAAGGCTGAGCTTTAGGGAATGGGAATTTGAAGAACTAGCTCTGAGAAGTGAATGTATTTTCTTACAAGCAGTTGCACAAACCACTTGTCATTAGAGCCAAGGTGGTGGGGTTAAGGGTTTACTCTTCTATCTAATGGGTCTTTTTCGTGTGTCGTTAAGATCAGAAAAATGAAGATAGAGCTTGACTTATCCCACTTTTCTTCATGTCCTGTCTAGACTGGAATTGAAGGCCTCTGTGGGGAGAGATTTGCAGTGCTGGGGTAGACACTGGTAGACATCCCAGTGGTGCACGCCTTCACAGGCTGCTCATTCAGGTGGCACCTGGTGTCTGATATCTGTTTTCTAGAGATAGCAGCTAGGCGATAAAGGCATACTTTCTGCTAACGAGGGAGGCATGGAACCCCAGATGAAACTCAAAAAACATCTTCCATGCTTAGTGGTCAGAAACTATGAGATTTTAAAACTGAAAGAATTCCCCAAGGAATTTAAAAGCAAGTCAGTAGCTCTACAGGGAGTCTGACTAGTAAACTTGGCAAAAGGAATTAATTCCCTTACTGAATTTCCTTTCCTCAGATGTTTTTCACATCCCAGGTATGTAGTCCTAATTCATTTGGGCAAATATTAGGCAAAATAGCAGAGTCAACACTTGATAGATTTTCTCTTTGGGGATGAGTGGGCAGGGGATGGAGAAGAGGAAATATTTAACTTCATTGAAAATGTAGAAACTGAGGTTGATGGCTACAGAGTGATTGCTCGGTGACTCACTGAGTTGCCCAGGGTCTAATCTGATTCAGATTCAGGGAAGACTGTCCTCAGGGGCCCTGGTTTCATAAGGCACTGCCACAGAGCCACTGTGGAGTCTTGCTACAGCTTTGTTGTAAAATAAAACAAAGAGAATTAAATTGAAGTAGAACCTACATAAATGAAGTCAATAAATCTTAAGTGTACAGTTTTTTAAATTTTACCTAAGTGAAACCTTTACCCACATCTACTCAGAACTATGCTGTCCAATATAGTAGCTACTGCCCGCATGTAGGTATTTAAATTAAGTAAAACTTAAAAATTCGGTTCCTTAGCTACACTATTCACATTTCAAGTATCCAGTGGCCTCATGTGGCTAGTGGCTACCATATTAGACAGTGCAGATATATTTCTGTCATTGCAGGGAGTTCTGTTGGATAAAGCTGGTGGGGAATGTTATGAATACCCCAAAAGGCTCTCTTGTGCCCTTTCTCTTGAGTAGCCCCTTCTCTGAAGATTATATTCTCACCTCTACTACCATGGTTTAGTTTTTATTTTTAAAAATTTATTTATTTATTTTTAGAGAGAGAAAAACATTGATTTTTGTTGTTCCACCTATTTATACATTCATTGGTTGATTCTTGTATGTGCCCTGACCAGGGATTGAACCCACAACTTTGGTGTATCGGGACAGCACTCTGAGTTACCCGGCCAGGGCAACCACCATAGTTTAGTTTTGCCTGTTCGGGACCTTCATATAAAAAGCATCAGGCACTGTATAGTCTTTCATGTCTAGAGAAAGCAAAATTTGCTTATTTCTTGAATGCTAATGCCAGGGATAATTCCCTGGTTTATGTCTTCCCTCCCACGTAAAGATGCCTAGTACAGTGCCCTTGCTAGTCTAGTCCAGTGGTTCTCAATCAAGTCAGCTTTGTCTCCCAGAGGACATTTGGCAGTGGGGAACTATTTTTGGTTGTCACAGTTAGAAGGCTGCTATTGCAGCCTGGTACGTAGTGGCCAGGGATTCTGCTAAACATCGTGTAGTGTGCAGGACAGTTCCCCACAGCGAAGAAATAGCCAATCCAAAATGTCAACACCAATGTTGAGAAACCCTAACCTTGTCCCATGGAAAACTCCATCAAGACCACTCAGTGCCAAGCACATAGTAAGTACCCCAAGATTCAGGGAGTATATTGTGGGACTCATGTAGGCTTCAGTGCTTTTTAAGACTAGCCAAAGGGCCTAACATTGAAATTTATGAAAATAGCTATATTGTGTAAGAAAAGGGAAATTTAGGAGCAAATTTTTTAATTATTTAAAATAAAAACAACCCTTCTCTTCTTGGCGGGGGTCTGGTGTGTGGTCCTGGTCACTGTAATGCACAGAGGCAGAAGGAAAGGGCTCCTGCCCCCTCGGCGTCATGTCTTCAGTGCTGACGGTTTCTAGTCCGTCAGTTCTGTCCTCAAGCGCCGGGACACAAGGAAAATAAATAATAACAAAAACAACCCAAATAAAAAATGAGTGGAAGATTTGAATCAACATTTGTCCAGAAAAGATTAAGGCTAATGAATAAACACAAGAAAAGATGTTCAACTTGATCACTCATCAGGGAAATACAAATCAAAACTGCAGTGAGAGACTGCCCCACACCCACTAGAACAGCTGTAACCACAAAGTGAACAGTGACAAGTGCTGGCGAGGATGTAGGGGAGCTGAGACCCTGGTACATTGCTCACGGGAATGTGAAATGGTGCGGCTGCTTTGGAAACGAGGAAGATTTTTTTAAAAGCTTAATGTAAACCTGCATGTGATCCAACATTTCCAGTTTTAGGAATCTACCCAAGAGAAATGAAAGCATATCTCATCTCAGAGACTTTACATGAACACAAGCAGCTTATTCATGGAGCCAAAAAGTGGAAACAACCCAAATGTCCACCAACTAGTACGTTCATACAGTGGAATTCTACTCAGCAAGAAAAAAGCAACATGGGTGAAACTTAGAAACATGTTGAGTGAATGAAGAAAGAGTCCTATATGTTTTATTATTTCACTTTATGAATGTCTGAAAGGCTCATCATAGCGACAGATAACAGACCAGTGGCTGGGAATGGAGGGCAGACAGGAGTGGGGATTGAGTGCAGGCAGACTTAAGGGAAATTCTTGGGATGATGGAAAAACTCCAAAACTGGATCGTGGTAGTGGTTGCACAACTCTATAAAGTTACTAAAAAACAAATCATTGACTTGTACACTTAAAAATCTTATCTGCAGATCAACTATCTTACAGGAAGCAATTTCCTCCCTTAGAGTAATAAGATGATCATAATCCTTAAAGACCAACTGGCCCAGGAGGTTTTTTTTAAGGACAATACTAATATTAGAATGTGTGCTAATCTAGAAAACCCACATGGAACACTTATCTAAAAAACAAACCACGTTGAAAGATATATTTGGATGTCATTCTTCATGTCCACATGGACTTCTGCATGTCATTTGAACCACTATGAGAGGTGACTGCAGTGAGGTTCCCAGATCTGGTTTTAAACACAAAATTTGAACAGATTAATGTATGATTTCTAAATCCAGGTAGCCAGCTGCAAGTAGGAGAGGAATGCTGAAAGAAGCGTATCATTTCCCCCTTCATCAGAGCCTTTATGTTCCCTCCATAGCCCCCCTTCTCCCAGTTGCCAGCATGGTGTGCAGAGAGCAAGGGGTGCCTTCCGAAGCATGTTTTTTCTCGTTTGTTACAGACAGTAAGCTGGCTCTTGGGAGACTTCAAGTCAAGCTGTCACAAACAAATAATATGATTGCATTGGGGAGGGTGGTAGAGGGTTTGCTTACTTGTCTCTGTGCTTTCTTATCTATTAGGCTCTGGATTACTGCCACAGCAAGGGAATCATGCACAGGGATGTGAAACCTCACAATGTCATGATCGATCACCAACAGAAAAAGGTACCATAACAGCTAGGCAGCAACAAGCCTTTCATTGAAAGGCTTAGACCAACACTCTGACCAATACATAGGTGATTTCTGAAGACCCATGCTTCTTTATTTCCCAGGCTCCAATGTTGCTTTCTTTGCATAAGCATAGTACACAAGGGAAGTATACAGCTGAGCTTGACTGTAGTCACTTGTTTATTGCAGTCACGGTTTTCTTGAGGCCTCAAGAAACAAATTACAGCTGATAATTTCTACTGTTTAATGACCCCCAGACCAATCTTCCTGGCCTTTAAAAGTACACTTGGGTCCCTCCTATTTTCAATATCCAATTCTGGTTGTCCCCAATTGGAGAGTAAATGAATCAACTAGTAGTAGATTAATGAGAAGCTAGAGCAGTGCCTCAATCCTGGAGTGCGGCGTATATCCCCACCCTTTCTGTTATGACTACAGCTTATAATGAAAGTTGTCAATGATGGGGGAATGTTACACGTACAAGTGGTATGGAGCCAGTAAAAAGCTCAAGCTCTATTAATCTCCAGAGAATAAGCCAGGGTAATTTAAGTTTAAAAAGGAAAAAGCAAGTAAGACCCTGAGTGCTCTGCCCTAGAAACAATCTCTTATGCAGTTGCTAAAAGTATAATTTCTTAGCCAGCATACTTGCTAACATTTTTTTACGTGGCCAAATAATTATCTAATGTGGCGTGCTACCTTGTTCTAAGGCACAGGTATCTAGAAACACTTCTTTCACATGTTTTATTTGTCGTATTTGTAGCTGCGACTGATAGACTGGGGTCTGGCAGAGTTCTACCATCCTGCTCAGGAGTACAATGTACGCGTGGCCTCCAGGTACTTCAAGGGACCTGAGCTCCTTGTGGACTACCAGGTAAAATTAGTGAAGCACCTCTGGGCTCTTCTTATTTCTCCTTAGGGCTTTGCTTTTTCCTTGTTTTTATTTAGTCAATTTGGATACATTCAAAACCTAGTCTTTATTCCACCTCAGAATGATCATTTCAGATTTTCCACAGCTACCCCTTTTTGGGGGGTGGGAGGGTGGCTCAGGAAAATGTAACACTGTTGACTGGCTGGTTGTCTTGCATTTCCTTAGATGTATGATTATAGCTTGGACATGTGGAGTTTGGGCTGTATGTTAGCGAGCATGATTTTTCGAAAGGAACCCTTCTTCCATGGACAGGACAACTATGACCAGGTGAGCAAACACCATTGGGCTCATACCCATTTGGGGCCAGATGCCAAGAAAGTCGCATTTCTTGATAGGGTGCTATCCTTGAGCCACTGCCTGTCACCCGATGTCCACATATAAGCCTTCCTTCAGGGTGAAGAATTTCACAAAATTTTGCCTGCTGTTACCAGGTCCCCAAAGATAGCGCTCTCTCATACCCACTTCAAAGTTAGATTGTGATGTCCCCATAATCATCAGCTTCTAGAAGAACCTTGTTATAAGATGCGTTATCGCTTTAAAGGCAGTTTGGAAATCTTCATTCAGGTGAGCTTCAAGTCCTTGGGTCTGCTGCCCGTCTGCCCCAGGCTTGAATCTCTATCTGGTCCCTGGAGATACAGTGAGGTGGAAGTCCTCTGATTGCTTGTCACAGCGTCCTCACGGGCTTGCAGCAAGTTCTGTGCTCAGAGATTTGGTCAGTTTGTTTTGTGTTTCAGCTGGTTCGCATTGCCAAGGTCCTGGGTACAGATGAGCTGTATGGGTATCTGAAGAAGTATCACATAGACCTAGACCCACACTTCAATGATATCCTGGGACAGTAAGTAAGAGGGATCCTGAAAGAAGGAGAGGAGGTATTAACTTACCCATTGCAGAAATGGAAAGGTTAACCGAGATCACGTTCTTTTTAAAGTATTTTTTTATTGATTCCAAAGAGAGAGACGTTAATGTGAGAGAGAGACATTGATGGCCTTCCGTACGCACTCCGACTGGGACCAGACCTGTAACCTGGGCATGTTCCCTGACTGGGAATCGAACCAGCAACTTTTTGGTGCATGGACGATGCTCAGCCAACTGAGCCGCACCCACCACGGCTGAAATCACTTTCTAAAGCCCTTCCCCCTTCTAATAGTTTCAAAATTGAAGTAGCCTCTTTTCCCCATGTGTATTTTTAACTTCTTTTGAGATATTTGGGCATTGTTGACATGTGTCTTCTAATAATTTACTTTTCTAAGAGCTTGTTTATTAGTAGAAAATGTAATACAAAATTATAATGTTACAGAAAAGCTTTCTGGTATAGCATATGCTTATTTTAATGGAAAAACCTTAGAAAGCTTGGTTTTTTGAATAAGAAACAATTTCTTCTGTGTGATGGATTTTCTATAAGGTAGCAAATTTTAAAGCATATTTTAAACATTTACTGTTGAAAAGTAAATGTGTTGAAAATTTTCAAATAGTATTTTATGAAACCTCCATGTTTCTAAGGCCAGTTGCTCTCTAAATATAATGGCTGAATAATAACAATTAGTCGCCACCGTGCCTCACCCAGAATTGAATAAAAACCGCCTAAAACTTTTACATCCAAATCAGATGTAAAAGTTTTAGTTCTGTTTATCAGTCACTGAATACTGTTTTGTTTTGAGGATCATATTAATGTTACCGAGTGTGCTGGATGCGGCTAGGGCAGGTAGCAGCAAGAATGAGATTTAACAAGCTTGTAATTGGTGCAGTATTCTAAGATTTTGTTGATTTTCACCCTGCTACATAAGGATTCTTGTTGAATTTAGTCTCAGAATACTTATGCTCCCCTTTTCTTCTCAGACATTCACGGAAACGCTGGGAAAACTTTATCCATAGTGAGAACAGACACCTTGTCAGCCCTGAGGCCCTAGATCTTCTGGACAAACTTCTGCGATACGACCATCAACAGAGACTGACTGCCAAAGAGGCCATGGAACATCCATACTTCTGTGAGTCTCTAGGGGCTCTTTTCAGAGGCCTCATTTATTAAAGGAAAAATTATTTTACTCTTCATCTTTGAGGCCAGTCAAGAGAAGTCTAGGTATTTGGAATTTGAATTCCATTGGAATTTGGCCTTGTTATTTCTAGACTATTGAGACAACTGGGCAGATCTGCCTCTTGATCCCCAAAGGTGTTTGCTTGTTCACTGCCGTGGCTCCCTTTACATGCATCTGTAAACCGTTCCCAGTGGCCCTGAGTTGATAGATCACAAGTATCTAAAATTTGTTTTCAAATATATACATTTATGTGGAAACCTAATCAAGGATTAACCCCTGCCCCTCACCCCCCCACAGAAAACAAGTAGTTGAAAATAATGTGACCAGTGGTATAATTTTAAAGAAGGAAATAAGTTAAATAAATAAAAGGAATTTGAGGAAAGGAAAACAGGTATGGAAAGACCTCACTAAAATTCTGTCTGAATGAATTCTGAGCTCTTCAGAGGATGTGTATAAATTCCATTTGTGTGGCTGCTTATTCTGCATGTATGCAGTTCTCGCCACTGATGAAGCACGTCTCTCCCTTTTTTTTTTTAAGGTTTTTTATTTATTGATTTTTTTAGAGACAGAGGAAGGGAGAGGGGGAGAGAGAAACATGGATGTGAGAGCAAAACATCACTCATCGGCTGCCTCCTACAGGCCCCCTACTCGGGATCGAGCCTGCAGCCTGGGCGTGTGCCCTGCCCGAGAACTGAACCAGCAACCTTCCAATGCACAGGGTGGCGACGCCCAACCACCTGAGCCACACCAGCCAGGGTACATCTCACATTTTTATTAGCAGCAGCATGGGGGGGTCAGAGGAGACAGAATAAGGGTGATTACGTGGCCTGTCTCAATTTACTGTCTGAATCAAGATGAAAACTTCCAACCTGCCTATTACTTGACCAGTGTGCTCTCTTTCCTCCTCCTTTCTCTCCTCTGGAGATTAACTGAGACTTGCCTGAAGATAGCAGTGCTCTGTGGTCTTGAACCTGTCGGCCCGTAAGCATTAGTCTACAGCAAATTTTAAAAGTCTCACCCTTCAGTGTTCAGATGGCAGACAAGTGCAACTCGTGTCCTCCTTCCAATTTCTGGCACAGAAAGCCATTTGTGCCCTTTGAGTTAGATTGAATTAAGAGCACTCATATTTACAATGTGTGATTCTTGGTCTGTCTACTTGTCTTCTTACACTTCATACTCCTGTTTTAAAAGTTTTCTTTAATTACTGTTGCTTAAAATGGCTAGGTCTTCTAATGGCTTTTTATTCACCCTTTCCTCTGAAGGGCTGCTTATTGCACATGCTTTGATGAAATTGGGGGTTGGGCATGGTGTTAGCATTCAAGGAAAGTAACATGTAAGAAAATTCGTAGAAGTTTTGGGCAGTGGGAAATGAGTGTCTCTGTCTGCTCTTTCCCTGAGTCTCAGTAGTTGCACTCGTACTCTGAGGAAGTATAGGAGCACTTCCCTGATCTGTAATATCTGTTGCCTTCCTGGGCCTGCCTTCCCCGGGAGAGAGAGAGACAGAGAGAGAGAGAGAGACTGTCTGTCTCTCTCTCTGTCTCTCTGTCTCTCTCTCTGTGGAAGGGCTGGGTTCGGCGTACTGTTCCTCCCACTGCCCAGCCCACCTGCTGACTGCACCCTGTTCTCTTGCAGACCCCGTGGTGAAGGAGCAGTCCCAGCCCTGTGCGGATAATGCTGTACTTTCCAGTGGTCTCACAGCAGCCCGATGAAGACTGGAAAGCGACGGGTAATGCGGCATTGATGCTTGCCAATAAAACCAACCAACCAAACACAAATCTTGAAGGAAAACTACAGTGTGATAAAAAGAAATTCTAGTCATTCCTTCTAAGCGCAAAGAAGAGTAAAGATCTAAAAGTCTGTCAAAAAGAAACTCCCCAGTACTAGTCTACAGGGAGCTGCCGCTCTGGCAGCGAGCGAGACGCTGCACATAGTTCAGGATCTGAGGGACCTCTCCCTGTGGAATGCATGGGAGACGAGAGACTCGGAGTTGTTGTACAGTTACCTTTATTTAACAGGAGACCACTGTTGAATTAACCCGATCGGTCAACAAGCTCTGAATATCTGACTTCCTATCTATTCCACTGTGGTCTGTGTTTCCTTGGGTGAGATTCAGGCTCAAGTTTTAGCAACACGTCAGCAGTCTGTACTGACACACCAGCCTCACTTACAAAAGGAGATATTAAAACAGTGACAGTATTTTTTTTAAACTCTTTTACAAATTCATGTTTTATGTATTTTTTTATGACATGAGCTCTCTAGGAAATGTACCTCATCCCTGCAGTTTCCTCTAAGTGAATTAATTTGGGAGCAAACTGCAGTCAGTCATGAGTCCCCTTGGATGTCAGCAGACGTCACTTTAAACCTTGTGATGCCCAGAACAGGTCCATCTGTCTCATCAGAAGTTAGATGCTAGGTGCATAACTTGGAGCTCACTGTAACCTTTGTTGATTTCCTAATCATAAAATCTTGTTGCTATTTTTTTTGTGTAGCGCTTTTTTTTTTTTTTTGCAGCCTTGTAAGGCAACTGCACCATTTCCCAGCACATCCCTGTGTATGTACCTATTTTAATGCATCTCTCTGAAACAAAGACTTTTTGTTCACAACCACAACTAAAGCTGGAAGGTCAGTCTTCAGGCAGGTTGGGGAGGGAGAGGGAGAAAAAGATTCTATGAGAATTGATTCAGGAATGACCTCTTGGGTGAGGAAAATACACTTCCCCTCCCCCACCCCTTTCTGCCTTTTTTTTATCCCCATGAGAAATGATTTCCCGCTGTAATCAGGGTATTCCTCTGTGTTTCAAAGCTCTGATGCGCAGTACATGAACGTGATGGCAAAGATAGTCCATCTCGTGTGCAGGGCCTGGAGTTGTGTGGGCAGGGCCGCCCCACAACACAAGCCACTATAGAGAGCAACATACAAGGGGCTTGGGGGAGTAAGCGAAGCTCCCGGAGCAAGTATCAAAGCTTGGGATCCATTGTGCTAGCCTTCACGTTAGCAAAGGAAGCTAGATTTTGTTTTAAAAAGTAAAAAAAATAGGGCTGATTTCATTTGGGGGACTGGTCACCAACATAATTTGCAGCAGTCCCCTTACCCCAGCTACGCCACAGCTGTGGGAACTTCCACACCTGGCTAGAGGGTCTGCCACCACGTCATATTTAGGATTTCTTAATTAACTATTTAATAATGCCATACGTTTTTATAAAGTTAGACTGTTTGTTTAAAAGCATCTGTTTACATTCCATATTCCAATAAAATATTGGTATTGGTAGCAGGTCCTATCTCTAAATGTAGATTCTAGTTTTGTCATCTGGTTGGTGGGAACTTAAGATACAAATAAAACTCTTAATTATAGGGTTGATCTTAGGGATTAAAAAAATAAAAAGATCCCAAAGCCAGGAAATGAATTCAGTTAAGGTTTTTATACCTATACTACCTGCCTGCATTGCACATTCTGTATATAAACGTATACATTTGTTTTACCTAAAAATTAAAGACAAGACACGAGCTCTTGGCTGAACCTATGTTGCTGTGTCAGGCAGTAAAACACAGTGTTTGGGATTGTCAGAAGCCTTCTAATATGCCCGTGGAGGCAACACTGAACTGTTGGTTGTTATCAGGGAGATGTGCCACTGTGTGTCTTTCCTGCTCCCACCTACTTTGTACCCATACCCTCCTCCCACACCTTTAGGTTGCCTGTCTGGAGCAGGCAGGGGAGACTACAGGAGGGTCTTGGTGAAATAATACCCTCTTCCTTTCCCGTAGGTCCCCAGAGGCAGTAAAAGCACCTGGAGAAGAGTTGGTGGTTAACTTGGGCCTCTCCTCTCTCCTTTGCTCGTGGTGTAGTAGGTGCGGACAGCCCTCCTGCCTGTCCTGGCTCTGCAGCCGCAGCTTTGACACAGGAGCAGTGCCTCCTTCCATGCATACAGTTTACTTTCCTACCACCTATACTTTACCTCTCCTCATGCCTTAGACATACAGCGGAACTGAGTTTAAAACCTCACTCATTTCCGAGTCTGGTCTTTACACCAGCTTGCTGGCTGACTGCGACTGTAGGTTGTTTTTTCCCCCAAACAAGTGAGTCCAGTCCAAACCTTTTCTCTCTTACCTATCTCCAAACCGTTGTGTGTCCAGATGGACCTAGCGCCCCTGAGATTATACAGCATCTGCCTGGGTTAGGAGATGGTCATAGTTCCGCAAGAGAGGGATGAGCGCTCACGTGCGCGTGTGTGTGCGCGTGTGAGAGGGAGAGAGAGTATCTCTAATATTTAGACTAAGCTAAGGTAGATTTACCCACCCAATATCCTTTTCAGTTAGCATATTTCTTAAATTCATCTCAGTAATTTTCATTAGGTATTTTGTTTGCTTCATTACCTTATAACAGATTAAAAGTGCCTATGATAGGGACTTATTATTTCCTAAAGAAAAGCAAAAACTGTGGGGAACAGGGTAGTATTACACTATCATCTCAGGTACTGCCTATGTTTGAGAACATAGACCTGGTGTGGTGAGAACAAAGGTTCCTATGCCAAATACAGATGGTGTATCCTAGTCTGTCGACCACAGTAAGGTAACTACTGCAGGGATCTGCCTCAGCTGAGAAATCCATGGTGAGAGCAGGACTGCTGATATTTTCATCTGTAGTTTACTTGCAGTTCGCTCTCCCCAGGGCCATAGCAGCTGGCCTGCGCCTGTCCTGTCCCTGTGGTAGACGTCTGGGTGGGAGAAGCCATCAACTGTATAACGCAGACCAAGCGTTCCTGGGCCTTCTTACCAGTTACACGTGTGCCGATGCCAGTTCTGCGGGGCACTTAAGCATCACTCACTCAGCTGGGTCTCCTAACAGACATTCTCCGGCACATCGGTACTCATGAGGCTCAAAGCAAATGTATTCCCTTGCACAGAAAAGGAAGGTGCTCTCAGATTCATTAGAGAAGATAGCAGCGTTTGTAATCCTTGGGGGCTGGGAGAGAGGCTGGGGCAGCAGACTGTTACGAGGAGAAAGGGGACCAATAAGACAGTCAAAAGGTAGATCTTGAGAATGGAATGTGACTTCCTGAGGAGAGAGAACCTAGGGGGCACAAAGGTCATGTTCTGGAGTGTGCCCTGAGATGGACACTGCCCCCGGGATTGGGTCCAGTGGGACCAAAAGGTGCTCTCAAGGCAGATACCGAGTCCCAGAGAGCGCTGGTAGCCATGGGGCTCAGTCTGGGCCTACTCAGGGAAATGACTTAGGTTCTCCTGGGTGCTGCATTGCTGAGGATGGAAGCAGAATTATTCTGGGACACAAGCAACAATTGGAGGAATTTTTATGTATGCATTGAAATGGATCTAAGAGCCCAGTTAATAGTTTCCTTTAATGTCAGTTCAGATAAAATAGTTTAGAAACCTGTGGCACTGCATGAGCACCCACAGGAAGAAGCAAACTTCCCTTCCTACCAGTGGAGGGGAGCGGGTAACAGCCGATCAGAGTCAGGGTCATTGAGATGTAAACCCTTTCGAAAGCAAAAGCAGGGTCCACATGAGCACACAGGAAACCAGAATTTGTCAGTGAGCTTAAATCTAAGAGTGAATGTCCTGCCTTTAAAACTAACCCCAGGGTGGGAAAGGGGCAGTGGGAAAACATCAGCTAAGAAAACGCGCTTTTGAGCTACATGGATGTGTTGAAAGCAACACCACGCAGGAACTGTAGAGGCTGGGGAGGTGATGGGATGGGGCATACTTTTGTGTAGAGACTCAACAATGTGCTACAAATGTGATACTTAATCCTGAACTACATGTATTGAGGATTGTTTAAAAAAAAACAAAAACAACTTTCATTGACTCAATAAATTAACAGTTTTTCACTTGCTGGCTTTTCTTGCTGTAAATGGTGACTAAGAGGTTGGGACAGAAATCTCGGCACCCAGTGTAAAGCTTGGGTAAATCTTCAAGAACCGCAGAGCCGACTTGCCTTCTGTTTGCAGAAAAGCAACACTGCCCGACTGGTGATCCTTTACAAATGACCACGTCAGACACAAGTGACCACCTCTGTGTATCACTGGATGACTGGTGTACGATTTCTGTGCTGCTGCCCTTAAGAGGGAAGAAAACTGCCATGTGAAATCCTGTTTGCTTAAATAAAAATGTTGATCCCCACCAGCCTTTCCAGGAGGGCAACAAGCCACTGCTATGAGGACCTTAAACTTGTGTTTCCTGTCTCTTGGGGGAGAGGAGGGATAAACCTTGAACTGCAGATGTGTGGTGGTTGCAGCAACCACTGTGGTGTGCAGACTTAGCGGGAGAGGTGGGACTGGAATGTCGTGATGGGAATGGCTGTCTCTTGGTACTTTGCTTATGAATTGCACCCCCTCAGACACCTGCTTCTTGGGATTGACCTGTTTTTTTGCACGACTTGGGCCTTTGCGGCAGTGCTCTTTGCATTTATGAAAGTCCCCACCTGGTTCCTTGCAGCACTAGCAGGCACATGCTGTTTGGCAGATGGTGGTGTCTTTAATTAATGTTCTTCTTCCCGACTGGTCCCTCTGGAGTTGGATGCTTGGAAATCAGTGTCTGAAGTGCTTACAGGCAAACAGCCATTTTCTAACCTTACACCATGCGGCCTTTCTCAGATATTAAGCAGCAGAATCCATCCTTTACCCCAAGTTTTCTGTGTGACAGCCTCCCAGGTGCACAGTCCTTTCCCTTGCTGCTGTAGTGCCTTTCTGAGTCTGCTGCTAGAATTCTGGGCTGGCATCTCACCACCTACTCCACTGTGCCAGGAGAAACAGGTTTCAGGCGATGCCAGACAGCCACTTCCAGGGGACACTGGAAAATACAGGAGTGGGCAAAAGTAGGTTTATAGTTGTGAGCACACTGCCACTGTGACACACTTCTGAGCTAATACAGCTGTAACAATCATAACTTGCATGTCTTTTTCAATACGAACAACTGTAAATGTACTTTTGCCCACCCCTGTAAGTGCTGTCCTTTTTGCTCTTTGTTAGTGGACTTGGCCCTTTCCCTCTGTAAATACAGTCATCTAATTCTTAGTCCCAAGCTGTCTTCAGTAAATTGGATCAGGTCTGATAGGGATCTAGAGTGGACTGTGGAACTTGTAGCTTGGTTTGCACCGAAGGGTCGGTGTCCTGGACCTGAGAGGGGAAGAGATGTGGTCATCCAGGCAGTGTCCCAAACTTTCCCCTTGCTCTCAAAGAAGGCTGTGCAAAGACTGCCTGTGTTAATGGTGATCAGGAGAGGAAGTTTGGAAAGGGTACCATTTGAAACCCGATACGGTTCTTACTAGGTTTTCCACAAAGTGGCCTGGGAAAGGCAAGCTTCCTACCTTCCCAGCCCTTTTCAGGAGAAGGAAGCCACGCCCGCCCGAGGGAGGCCCGTCCTCACTCCCGGTCAGATCGATTAATGCCGTCTTTCCCCTCCTCCCATCTCTCTCCCCAGGTCTGTTGCGGTTCCTCTCACTTTTCCATAAGCAGAGCAAGAACCAAATCAAACGTCTTAACGTGTGTAGAGAGATCACGTTCCGTGAGCAGACACAAACGGTGGCAGGTTTGGCGAGCACGAACTAGACCAGCTGAAGGGCAGCCCACCACCGTATATCAAACCTCACTTCCGAATGTAAAAGGTTCACACGCCTTTGGCTTCCGGTTGACTTCCTCCTGACCCAGAAAGCATGGGAAATGTGAAGGGTATGCAAAATGGTTGTTGGTTACTGTTGCTTCCCCGCGCCCCTCAACGTGTCCCGTGGCCGCCTGTTTTCCAGCAGACCACAGACTCCGCAGCAGGGGAACGGGGGCATATATGGCATGATGGGCAGTTACATATTATAATTTTAAAAGTATATATTATTGAATAAAAGGTTTTAAAAGAAATGTATGGAGAGTTTTCAGTATGGAAGGGCCATGAACTGAGACCCGTGGCCACAGATGACTGAGTGACAGAGGAGCATTTGTGGCAGGTTCTAGGCACAGGACGGGGGAAGTCCCGGAGGTGAAGAGGGCGGGTTTTAAGGACACAACAGAGATGAGACGTTGAGGAAGAATGGTGAGCTCATCCCGGGAAGAGGCAGGCGACTCAAGGAGACTCGGTGAGCCCGGAAAGCCAGGCTATGCCTTGGACACGAATTTGCCCTTCCCTGACTCGTCCTTCCAAAACAGGTGAGTCACCCAGTGGTGTAGGTGGCAAGTGTCACTTCAGTGAACTCAGGAAGATGCCTTAGCCCCCTTGCTTTCCCTTTGCTCCTGTCTCCTTATCTATTCCACCTCCCAGTCCCATCCCCTGTCCTCACCCCAAGCCCCCTTCTACAGAAGCATCTTACCTTGGAGGATGGTTGAGTCTGCTGTCCTGAGGCAGGGCAGGGTTCCAGGCTCGGGTCCAAATCCCGGGCCTGGAACCCTGATCGCATTGAAAGGATGGGATGGAAGCACTGGCTGTATTTGTCGTGAGGACACGCTGTTTTACAAACAAGCCTTCCCCGGCTCCTGCAGTCCTCCCCTTCTAGGACAGCTGTGTCATGGGGAAGTGAAAGCAGTGACAACCTGGTGGCTGCCCGGCCTCGTTTCTGGCGGTGGCCTGCGTCCTCTCATTGCCTGTAGAGAGCAGAAGCGATAGGCAGAGCCCAACACCCGGACAGCTGGATGGGGCCCCCACTTGTCCACAAAAACCATGTGGTCCGCACATTCTCTCCTGTCTTTTCTGCTGCTTGTCCGGAACAGGTGACCGGCAATCCAGGTGTGGACACTCACAGTTTCTGAAGCAATTATGGGGAGAAAGCAAAGAGGCCCCTCAGCCACCACAGTGTCACAGTGTCCCTTGAACCAGCTTCTGTCATATATAAGCAGTTCCTCGGGTGTGGGAGCTCAAGACCATGCGTGCTCCTGGACACCAGTGAGTGAGGGCCCGCAGGCCCACCGCCAGCAGACTGTAAGGCCAGGGCGCCGAATGGATGGACTTAATACTTTCCAGCTCCATCGCCCACCTAGTGTCCTCAAGCGGTCTCTCTCACAAGGCCCTTTTTGACTTACAATTCTGCAAATTTCTGTTGGTCTTCCAGATCTCTGGGACGGCATCTCAATACCTCATAATGAGCATGAAAAGCCTATGGACATGGTGTTTTGTGTGTGCATGTCTGTCTACATAGCAGGTTTTCGCTGTGTTGACACGCCGATGTTTGAGGGTCTTCAGACAGAAAGGGTCTCTTCGGAGAAGATACACAGTCGTTGGCATGGGAGTTCTTTAGATGCAGAATTTGAACACTAGCTTCATCTTCCAATTTCCTTCCTCAGAATGAATGTCTTGTTTTCCAGAAACCTCTCAACCAAGATAATCTTGTTTTTTGTGGATGATCACTGCTCAGTGGGAGATTGGTTGTAGAAAGAAGGGGAAGGGGAGGTTTTTTTAGGTGGTTTTGGCCTTTAGAGAAAGGGACAAGAGACCTGCTAACTCAAGACCAGTATAACACTTATCCACCACATGCTTGGAAATTCAGAACAAGTCACATCTTTCAGTAGTCCTGCTTGTGTTTGGGTTGTTTAAAGTAATATTGAATTTTCTTGATTACCAAAGTAATATGTGCTCATGGTAAAAATGTCACGTTATATCAAAGTAATAAAAGCCTCCCCACCAACCACATACACATGCACACAGAAACTTGGAGGTAACCACAGTTAAATTTGTCATATACCTTCCAATTTATTTCCTATGCGTTTACTAACATTTTAAAGCTATAATGACTTATTTTTCCAGAAATGTAATCAGACTCTCCATTCTTTTTCTGCAACTTGTGTTTTCACTTGTGAAAATCTTACTGTTAGAACATATAGATCTACCTCATCCTTTTTCATGGCTGCATAATATTCCATTATGTGATGTACCACAGTGGAAGCCATCCCTTGTTGATAGACTCCTATCCATCCATTATTGATAGACTCTTCAATACTATTACCAGTATTGCTATGATTTGCACATACATTTTTTTTTTACACAGTATGTTTGTAAGATAAACTCAAAAATTTTGAGCTACTGTACCATATAATTTTTTTTTAAGAAAGGGCATTGTTATGATTCAGAGAAAGCAGTCTTCCATTCCCTTCTCTCTCAAATGTGGGTTGGAACTGTGATGCCTTTAGTCATGGAATTCTCGTGGGACTCTGTCAGGCACTTGGGGCATGGTGTCCAGGGCCTGTGACTTTCCAGGGGCCTACAGAAATGTTTGCAACCTGAAAAATAAGGTGTTGGCTCTAACATAAAGTTGCAAAATAAAAATAAACATGATCAAATGTCTTTCCAATCCTGTGAACTTCATTATTGCTTAGGTTCAATATTTGCTTTTAAAAATATTTTTTTCATGATTAGTAAGAGTGAGACAACCACAAAACCAAATAATTTCAAAAGCAAATTCTAAAGATCTTTTCAAAATTACAGAAAAACTCTCATCTTAAATATGAAAAATGGCTGCCTTTTAATGTTTAAAATGCCATGGAGAAGACTTCAAAGGTAAGCATGCAGAGAGCTGACAAACTTTTTATTTTTTTATGTTGTTTTTATTCTTTAATCCTCGACCAAGGATCCTTTTTCCATTGCTTTTCAGAGAGAGTAGAAGGGGGGGAGAGAGAAAGAGAAACATCGATGTGAGAGAGACACATTGACTGGCTGCCTCCCACACGTGCGCAGACCAGGGCCAGGGATCAAGCCTGCAACCAAGGTACGTGCCCTTGGTCAGAATCGAACCCGGGACCTTTCAGTCCACAGGCCAACACTCTAACCACTGAGCCAAACCAGCTAGGGCCTGATAAACTTTTAAAAACATCCCTGGCTGTTGGGGGCTGAGTGCTGGCATGGATGAGCAACC